ACTTTCATGACATTCCAGCAAGGGTTAAAGAAGCATCAGGATTCTGCTGTATAAACAGAGAAGCTGAAAAAACATTGCATTTTCTTTCTGTTAAACCAAGTAATTCAGCAATGCTGGTAATTTTTCCATACTCAGAGCTCTGTACCACTGGGGGATTACATTCAACAGCAAAAGTGTCAAACTCCAAAGCTGAGTAGTAACTGCCCTTCCACACTAAACATTTCCTACAAAAACCTGACGGCACTGACATGTGCTGAACTATTTTCCTAAGTTAAGCACAGAAGTTTGCTCTCATACCTCTCAGGTCTCTGGGCAGCCTGTCTGCATTCATCTCCACATTCACTTCTTGTCTGCTTTTCATCAAACTCAAAGAAGCCAGGAACATCCTTGTCTTTGCAGAACCATTCCTGGGGACTACCTGAAGGTTCAGTACTACTAAACACAGCAGAAAAAAACCACAAAAAACAAAAACCAAAAAACTTAGAAAAACTATCCATCTGCCTTACTGCTCCAAATAGAAAACTCTTAAGCTGCAATAGGAATTAACACTTCATCTGACACCCAAATGGTATAAAAAGTGCAACGTATACCACAGGTCAATTACAACAGAAGTAAAACTATTTACACAGTGCAGAAACACATGTAAGAGAATTCCATTCACTCTTCTTCTCCAAATTAACTCTCCTCTACCAGAAAAGTAATGTTACCTTGTGCCCACCAGTGTAAATACAAAGGGGAAGGGAGTGTACTACTGCAGGCAGACCAAATGCCTTTCTCCCCATAACACCTGACTGCAGATTAATTTAGACTAAATAACTGCAATATCTTGAAAACTAACAGAATTCAAATGGAAAACAAGGCATAAAAGAAGACTACCACTCCTGAGTCTGACATCTTTTCCCCCAGTCCGCAATGCCCTAAAGGAACTACAGAGCCCTCCTTTGATTCCTTAAACCCTGACTTAATTCACCCAGGTAACATACACAGGCTGCAGGTCCCAGGTTTC